CACTGAGTGACTCTGTTCGCGATGTGAACGGCGGCTTTATTGCTGACAACTCGGCCAAAGTCGAGCGCTGGCGTGAGCACTTTGAGCACCATCTCAACTTCGATACCCAACCTACATCGCCCTTGTTCTCCTCCTCAGCGGACTTTCTTCCCTTTCCTACCTATGCAGTGCCATGCGATCCCCCCTCCGAGGAAGAAGTCGCCGATGCCATACGAAAGTTGCACAACAATAAGGCACCCGGAGAGGACGGTATACCCGCTGAAATCTTTAAGTCTTGTGTCGACACTCTGGCGCCCTGACTCCATGAGGTAATTGAACGCGCGTGGAGAGACGAGGTTGTTCCTGATGACTGGGGCTTAGGCATCCTTGTACCTATCCTCAAGAAGGGAGATAAGACGAGATGCGAGAACTACCGCGGCAAGTGTCTCATCGACGTTGCTGCGAAGATCTTCGCTATTGTCCTACTCGGACGATTCCAGGCTGTGCGTGACTCAAGGACGAGGCCCAACCAAGCCGGATTTCGTGCTGGACGTGGATGCGCAGATCAGATATTCACACTGAGGCGCATTCTCGAATTTCGCCATAGCTACCAACAACCGACAGCCGTCTGCTTCGTTGACTTTGCCGCCGCGTTCGATTCCGTTCACCGTGAGTCCCTGTGGCGGATAATGGCGCTAGATGGTGTACCGGCCAAAATCATAACCATGATCAAGGCCTACTATCGTTCCACTACTGCGAGAGTCCTGGTCCGTAACAATTTTTTCCCAACCGTTCGGTATTCGGTCTGGCGTCCGACAGGGTTGTATCCTGTCACCCATACTGTTCAACTACGCTATTGACTGGATCCTCGGGAGGGCCCTACGCGACAGTGACGGTGTTGAATTTGCACCCGGACATCGACTGACTGATCTCGACTATGCCGATGATATCGCCTTACTTGCTTCAAGTTTTGGTGATCTGCAGTCTATGGTGTCACGAGTGAACGAGGTCGCTAAATCAGTCGGTATGTCCATAAACGCTGGGAAGATCAAGGTATTCTCAAGCTGCATTCCTGACCAGGAGAAGGCACCCCTGGGGATTGATGGCTGTCAACTTGAAGAAGTGGACAGTTTTAAATACCTCGGGGCGCGGCTGCTGCCTAATGGACAGAGTAAGGACGACATTGTCTCCCGAATCGATGCTGCACGCTGGGTTTTCTCAAGCCTTCGGAAATGCCTGTGGAACCGACGTGACCTCTCCATCGCCACTAAGATTCGCGTGTACCGTGCATCTGTCCGGTCTGTCCTTCTCTACGGTTGTGATTGCTGGGCTTTGCGCGTGGCGGATGAGCGAAAACTGGAGGTATTTGACCACCACTGCTTGAGGATCATCCTTCGAGTGAAGTTAACCGACTTCGTCTCAAATGAGATAGTCCGCGCTCGCTGCGACAACATCGCGAGGATAACTCAGGCCATCCAAGAAAGACGACTGAGGTGGTTCGGGCATGTTCTTCGTCGTCCACCTCAGGAGCTCAGTGTTACTGCCCTCGATCCGGCACCGTTGCCCCATTGGAGGCGTCGAAGAGGGGGTCAGTTCAAAACCTGGCTCGACACTGTCCGTCAAGACATGGAGGTGGTTCTTGGACCTTCGGTATTCGGTCTCCGTCGTTGGCGAAGGGAATGGGTTGAGCTGTCTAGATCTGCTGCCGCGGATCGTCACGCATGGAGAGGTATGATTCGGGACATCATCGAGGCCGGCTAGATCAGGCATGATCGCAGCCGTATCAAGTACAAGTAAGTAAGTATAGTGAGTTACGCTTGTGTAATTTTTAGTAGGCGTCAGCAGGACATTTCTTGCGTTTAAATAGTTGTCCGACCGCCATCTCTGTCTTCTCCTACAGTAATGCTCAGCTCTGGAGGACCTCCGAGTCCTCGGACACGCAATATTCATGGAGTAGACAACGAATTAGATTAGGATCGATTAGACACGGAAGTCCCGAAAGATCTGCCTCATCATTGTGGTCTTGGATACCGAGTTACTCTTTCAGCTTGCGGCTGACAAAAACGACGCGGGAAGACAGTTGTTCGTCTGAATGGTAGAGACGTTTTTCAAGCTTCCTCGAATTCCTGCTAACATTGTCGTTTACACCATGACGTACGTGTCATCCATTTATCATCATCAGAATGCACGGTCTTAGTGTAGGTGAGGAAGATATACTCGAGTTCTTTTGGGGCCGGATCTGATGATAGGCCGGGGATTGAAGTAACCATCGTAGTTCCTTGCTAAACGTGAAAGGGGTTCGTTGGTGGAATTCAGAGCGTTTCGCTGTATTCATGATTTGAAGGAGGTCTTCACTTCTCGTCTTACTCCTTTTCAAGGCGTCTGTGCACATACTCATGCACCAATTCAGGCGGAATAGGTTTGGGGAGTTAGGTTGCATCGAAGGTCGCCGAAAAATTGAGAGATCGGGTTACTTGAGGTCCTTGCGTCCTCCCGAAGGAAGTCCGCTTTTCTGGTCGTCCGCCTGCCCAGAATGTATGTGAGGTTATCTGTGACGACATACATTCACCGAATATCGCTTTTGTTGACAGGCAGGTTTGCCTGGTACCACTCAGCTGTCGGGCATGCGTTTTCGACTTTTTTAGGAATTAAGCTTGCACCTGAAGTTGGAGCGAATTCGACTTCCTCCGAGGTTCTTATTTGATGATGACTCTGTGAACAGCAGCTATAAGTCACTGCCGGTCCTTGGCAGCTGCTCCTTTTATTTTTTTTTACCATGTTAAGGCAAATGGTCTATTTTGTGATATTCCACGACTTCTGGCAGCTGCATAAGTGCGTCCCTGTACATTCTAGAGCATTTGTGTCTCGCGAACACTATCTCCACAGGATGCGTACTTGCGTTTCGCAGTGCATGGACTACTCCTGGGACTATGTTGCATCCCTGTTTTGGTCCCGATACCCAAATCCATTCTCGTAAGTTATCCTTCCTTGCCCAATCTCACCACGTCAATTTAGAAAGCACGTTCTTCATGAGGACACACTAGAACGTACACTCCTAGACTCCAACACGCTTTATACAAAACGTGTCATAATGAAACAGGGCTTCGGTCGCATCCCTTTTTGGCTGCGCAAGGTTTTGTCAAATCGGCAGGAATTGATGGTTGAAGAGTCCATTGTCGACATTTCGGCTCGACGAATTACCACAATTACTCGGAATGTTGGCGCACTCGCGCGCCATGCAGTAAGTTGTTTTTGCGACCTTAGTCAATATTTTCATATTTTGACTTCTTCGCTTTCCATGTCTACTATTATTAGCCAAATTGCCATTACGCTTGTATTCCTATAAACAGTTATTTCAGATTACTTTAGAGTATTCCCAGAGATGTGTAGTCTGTCTAAGTTTCATCTCTAAGGACTTTACACAAAATGGCAACTTCTGTGGGACCCAATCTTCGGAAAACTATAACGTATTAGAACGAGGTTGCATACAACTGCTGAGCTTCTCACAAACCTGTCTTCCGTTCCCCATGGTGCGTCTGCTGATTTCGAGTTGGACCTGCCAAACTGGGTTTCGTTTGTGAAGCCCCATAGTACCTTTCCCTACAAGCTTGGCCGGTGGTTTACACACAATATTTTGAAAAGTTGAGCTTGAGTAGCGTCAGGTTTGATCTTACTCACTGCAGTTGCAAAAAACCTCTTCTAGAATTGCGACCTTTATTTCGGACCTCAGTGAGTAATGTGCGCCGCTGGTCAAGCCGTTTGTAGTTCTTGTTCATTTCTCTTTAACTTTATAGTTGGCAAACTTCTCCTTGATAATGCCGGTATTTTCCGTTTTCGTGCACCGGCTAGCAGTTGGTAACCAAAGCCAAATACAGTTACTAGCCCATCTCATGAAACATTAGTCAAAATTCTGAACCGTGTTTCTGACTAGAAAGATTGCCTGGATCGGCTCACAATATTGACTATCATGCAGCATGATCCCGAGATCTATTTTTCACTTCCGGATGCCGGCTTTTGAATACACTTTCCAGCCGCCAGCAACAACCGCGTTCGGTAAACAGCGGCTACTTATGTAGTCTAAATTTTTCCATTCATTTTCGATGTCCTCATAAATCCAAGCATATTTTGTTGAACATATGCATAAAGATATCCATTCTTGTACCTGCTTGGTAGCAAATCACGTCTTCTTCAAATTTTATATTGAAAGAAGGGGTTTCTTCGGCTTTAGAGAGTTTTAATTCCGGAATAATTTTGAGTCCGATCTGCCGTTACACCTGACTTTAGAGTTTACAGCCTACATATTGTATACTTTTCCTGGAACTAAAATCTGCATTCCTCCACGTCACTAGAAATGCACCATTTAGGGCTCAAAATTTCGCAACGAATGTGGGTTGTGTCGCATACCTCACAAGGAACATTAATAAACGCAGGAATACGATGTTGTCCTAATGAATATTTCACGGTCATAAAGGCCTCATAATCACAAACCTTCTAAACCGAAGTATACTCTTTCTTTAGGTGGGAAACTTAAGAACGTAATTTGCTACGAAATGAGTACAAGAAAAAATGTTTATTTATGTTTCCTATAAGTTATACTTGAATTTATAAGGGCATCGAAAATCAATGGAAAAAATTCATGCGACTCAAGTAGCCACTTTTACCGAGCATGGTTTTGTTGGCGGCCGGAAAGAAGTGTATTCAAAAGCCGGCATCTTGGCTTGGCTGGAATATCTTGGGATTGAGCTGCACGGTAATCGATATTGCAACCCCACTTAAGTACACCTTCCTAATCGAAGACGCATCTCGGGATGTCGATTAACGTTTCATGAGATAGGCCAGCCACTATATTGGATGACATGGCTGTTGAAGTGTCATGAAACTCGCAAGAAAATCCCTGTAATTCTGAATCTGCCCGCCTCCCATGTAATTCCTTCTAGGCGTTTCATGAGTTGCCTAGGCAAGACACCTGCCTTTAACTTTACACGCCCCAGACTCCTCGCGTTCACTATCTGCTATGGCCACGCTTGCCGAAAGAAGCGAATAGGCGAGTTCCAGGAAGTAGTTCAGGTTGAGAAGATGCTATCGCTGGAACAAGAACTTTATTGGCCTAGCGTTTCGAATTCTCGATCGAAACCATTATCAGAAACAGTAGCAGATAAGGGTAGTGGAGGCACAAAAAGCGCAGTATTTATAGGGCGCATTTGGCCAACAATCACATGCCTACAACAATTAGCTTGCCGCCTTGAATTGATTCATTCGAAAACGGGGTTCATCTGTCAAGCTACTGGCCTTTACTGCTTTCGAGTCTAGAGCCACTAACCGGGGCTGTGTTAACGACATCTTCATCGTCGAAGGGTTCGTGCTCCGTGTCCCGTGCCTTACGCGTTGCTCTTTTCAGCTTAAAACTAGGATGCCTGTATGCATGTGTTCGAAATTAAGCCAATTTGGAATTCGCCATTCGGGTTTAGGACAGTTTTAACGGCTCCGACTCCAAAACTTCACCGACCATATACTCTGGCAATCTTTTTCTCGCACATCACAAACGCCCTGAGCAATTCGGGCCAGCTTCATGCTGCCCTCACCAACGCAGCATGGTAACCAATGGAGACATCAGGACGTCTTAACAGGGCTGGAGGAAGACAGTAGCGGTATTTGGTACGGAAAGCATATCAGATCTGTCGCTTGAAATCTATTTGTTTGGGGACTCAATCCGCCTCCGGATCTGCATCAACAGTTGTTCTGATGAAGACCATCGAACTGTGCACGAATCTCACTCAGTTGTGCCTGATCCGTTCGCTGAGTCTGAGCCTAAGCGTGAGCAGGTTCTGTGCCATGTCGAAATGGGTGGAAATTCACTAACACTCACTGTCGTTTAACCTCTAGCTAACTGGCCAGAATGCAGGACCCAACCATTTCGGTTCTTGGCTTCTGATGCACATTTAACGACGGCAGCCCGAGGCAGGCGCACGTTATCTCGCCTCAGGGGTTCTTAATGGAATGCCCTACCCGTCGCCGAAATCTGACTGTGCCTGCTTTCTGATTAGACCACTACCACACCTCCTCTCCTTTAGCACTTGTGCCTTTACGGTAGGTGGGGCTATCTTACTTAATTTACTATAGTCTGACATATTTCATGAGGTTTCTTGGGAATTTCGGATGCATGCGGGTCTCCAACAGCCGCATGGATTGTTTGTTCGAGGTTGTCTTCTCTAGCGCTGTGGCTTAAAAGCCTAACCACAAGGCAGCGGTGACGGTTTACGGTCGCCATGTCACAGTGCCGTCATCGGGCTTTGCGGCCCTCTATAAGGCTTTCAGCGTGTCAGACCTCAGCCCTCCGCCACTAGTAGCACAGTCGCTGCTGGTCCGGGACTGCCTGTTCGTCAGACCTGGGTCTACTTATGTTGCAGTTAACCTTCGCTGAAGGCCGTTTCACTATCCGCCACCTGTGGGGACGTCGTGTAGCCAACAGTTAGGCCAACGGACAACCCGTCTTCTCGGTGGGCTATCTCATGGAATGTTAACCAAAATCCTTAAATGTGTTTTCGGTTAGAAAGGATTGCTTGGCTGGGATTGTAATGTTGATTTTCACGCAACATAATCCTACACGCCAGGATGCCGGCTTTTGAATAAGCTTCTTCCCAGTCGTCTGCATAAAAATGACTACTTAATTAGTATGCCTTTTCCCTGTGAATTTTCGATGCCCTCATAAATCCCATCATATTTTATAAAAAATATGCAAAAATACCTTTTATTGTATTCATTCGGTAGCAGATTACGTCTTCTTCAAAGAAAGGTGGCCTTTCGATTTTAAGAGAAGTTTTAAATTCATGAATAATTTTGAACCTAACCTAACCTGTAGTTGCACTTGCGCCTCGAGTTTCAAAACTCCATGCTGTATACTGACAGTTCGCCTGTCGTGCCCAACGATGTCCTCCGTGTGCTCCACAGCAAGTTGGAACAGGCACGGTGACCTACGCGTGAATTAGTTTATAGTGAGAGCAGACTTGTGCAGCAATGCTGATTAAACATCGCATTCCTCATCACTAGGCGGCCGCTAGAAACCAGAACAAAATGGAATGTCTGTGCTCAATCCTACCACACAGATTTCATGACAGCCTATCACGCCTTGTGCCCAAGACGTGCGCCTGTTGACAATGCACAGCACTTCCTATTCGTCTTATTGTTTGCTTCTGCCTTGTTTCCTATCAGGTTGTGGAAGAGCGTTGTGAATACTTCCCACTGGTTCGGCGGCCGGAAACGTCCTCTTCCCCACAAGACTGCACGCAGATTGAGCGATGTTTGTCAGCAAAGTCCTCCCTAGCCGCCAAGGTTCTCTACCCTTTGTGGGCCTTCCTCAAAATGCGCTACGCCTCCTCGGCCGAGAAGTCCCTCCTCGGTTTTAACCATGTATGCCAAATGCACAGCCAAAATCCGTCAGCGGTGACGACAGTCGCCACTGTGCACCCCTCCTCACTCCGAGACACTGCTCGCAGTCATATTAAAGAACTGGCCCGCACAAAGCGACCGCGTGTGGTCATTGCTGAGACGGAGCGATCAAATTAGGGGGGTTAATGCGATTTCCTGACCGATGCGCCTGCTCCACGTTGCTCGTGCCCTCTCTCACCTCTTCCCCTGCCGTTTGAGTACTTTTAGGTTCACACTAGCCACTTCAGAACGTATTTTAACCTGCAACCGAATGCAGATGATCTCTTTGTTGTCTTGTATCTTACAGTTAGGGGATCTTCCCAATGGCTGAAAGCCTCACGTGAGAGTCGACTACCCGCCCCTGCCCTCCCTCCCCCCCCCCTCCTGCACGGATTTTAGGAATTTGTATCCGCTATAATGCTCTCAGTTGCAATTGCATTTTTCGTTTTGTTAATGCCACTGACAGTAGTAGGGCGTGTAAGTATGCTGACGAAACATGCTTTTGGCTTGGATAACCAATTTTTAATGAAGGTCGTGCATTTCCTGCGTCCGAAGATCGACCATCATCAGGAAAAAAGAGGCGAGTAAACTGGCACAGTCGTGTTCCATTGCATCCAAAAAGGGGTCACGCTTGCTCATTCTTTGGACACTGATATGAGCAGTGTAGTCATGTTTGCGGACGCCTGATCAGTCTGCACTTTCCGCCATATTCGGCGTAGCCAGACAGGTAGCGAAGTAATGACGTAAGCCAGACACGCGGAGTATTACCGTGCCACTCACTAAAGAGGACTGGACTAGTCCACCAATGGGAGAAAGCTGCCGTCTGCCGCCGCGCTAGGTGAAACACATCTCTATCCAAAACTGTTGTTATTCGCTCCGCCTTCCACCCGACATTCTCCGGTCGCCAATTCCAACTCCCCGTTAGGAGTCGTTGCAACCTGCGCCGCCTGCTGCATTGTGCTTTCGTTCTGTCATTTTCTTCGGCATGCCTGCTGGACTGCTCTGATCTCGGCCAGAGGGAGGTGTGTCCGCGAGTAGGCTTGATATTTTGTCTTTTACGCTATTGGTAGATCTATCCATGGGATAGGACGAAGGTCTGAAGGACCGAAAAAGCGCGTCAGCTTGAACCATGGTAGTAACCAGGCCAGCAGTTGGCTGTCACCTGCTGCCTGGTGTGTCGATTGTCTCTGGGGGGGGGTGGAGAATACTCTCTCCATGAGACACGGTGATCAGGTATCACAAATCACCTGCTACGGGGTATATCGCCCACCAGAACCTTGACTTCTGCGGCGCGCAGTCACCTGCCAGACCTGTGGGTTGCAGGAACCCTGGCACCTAGATGCCAACCAGAAAAATATCCGCGCAGGGGGATCACCCGCTCACCAGACGCCATAGGACCACATACAGCTAGGATATATCCACGACTGGAGAATCAGACGACGGCCTTCGTATAAATAGGCAGCGGGTTTGACAATCGTCCATCAGACGGTCAAATTTAGCACAAATGTCAATATGTACGTCTACCTGGAAATCTGGCCTCTAAGAGGCATGAGCTATTTGGACTTCGGTGAAAACCCCGTATTAAAAGGGACCGACAGGTAAGGACTTCTTGCAAAGTATTGCGAATCTAGGAGCGACATGGCTGCCAGCTGTTTGCTCTCTGTGTGGTTGGCCATACCCTTTGCTGATCCAAACCAATGCGCCAAATGCATCTAGATTTGCTTTGGAAAATTTTGGGATCATACTTCGCCTGTGTGGGATCTGAATGACGGGCCAGGCGAGCAATGTCTGCGAGGAGTGGAATTGTGTTTGTCGGGGAGTTCGCGCTCGCCCCTCTTCAACGATGCCCAAGTATTGAAGGTTGGGTGAATCGACACCTTGTCCCGCCATCTCTGCCTTAATTTAGGAAGTTAAATATCATTACTGACAGGGACAAGGGAGACTTGTTTTTGTTGATTTTGCTATGCTGCCTATATTACGCGCCGCTGTGCGGCCGGTGGCGGGGCTCGAGACGGCCCCAAGACACAACAGGACGAATAAGTTCCGTAACGCGATCGGTGAGCGCCTCTCTACCAGTTTGGGGGCAATCAACCGCCCGAGCAGGCTCCTGCCCGATGTTGCTCGCTGCAGTGGCCGGGTGTTGGCCCGAGTGGCTGGAAAGTGTTCTATGAACCGGGCGGCTGACTGGATGCTCGATAGTCGCGCTACTCTCAGCAATCTCACGCAGGCATGTCAGCAGCCAGTCACTGAACGACGCAGCGCCGATCGGGCGCTACCCGTCGTCGGGCTGATACGTGAAGTCTTAAGCGGGCTCCAACAACGAATTGATAGGGAGCTTGAGGCGGACGGGGAGGTGGCATAAGTAAGCAGCCACGCCAGCGGTCAAGAGGGGACGGACTGCCACAGCAACACGGCGGGTTTCATTTGATATTTCACGTGGTTAAGGGAACTCTCGGTGTCATTTGGCGAGGTTGCGGTTTTTACCACTGCGGCCATTTGTCTGAACATACAATATTTCAAGCTGAAAAGGTCATTTAATTTTTGAAGGCATCACTTGCTGGCTGGCTGGAGGACCTGGATCCAACTTCAGTTTGCACTTCTCACGCCCTTCCGTTCCCTCTAGTTGTGCTGTCTTCCCCATCTTTTCGCCGGACCGGCAACTGCAGCACACCGCATGCGGTGCTGAAGACCCGTGCACACTTTGAAAAGGTGTTGCCACTTTCTCGAATCATTTCTGTGCAACCGCAGTGATAGAGGGACACAGGCGGGTCTGGCGTTCATGCCACCACCAAGTCTCCCCTGCCGCCAGTGAGCATTCTTCACACGTCTGCAAAGGGTTTTCATCGAGGGCGCACCTTTCGTTTTGACCCTGCCAAGCCGACGGCAGGTTTAGCGCGACGTTAGCAGACAACCACGTGCCGCTTGGTTGAGTAGATATGCGTACTTTTACGGATCATACACCACGCCCACACAAAGCGTCTCAGTCTGCTCAAGTGACAGTGCTGAAGGGGAACTTATGCGACGAGCCAAAAGCCTTTTTTCGACCCATCGGCTGTACGGCTAATCACCATGGCGTATCTTCTTGGATGCTCATGATTTTGCTTGCACCAGTCTCGACAGCCGAAGCAAACTACCGGAAAATCCGTCAGGTATAACCGTTCCACCCCGAAGGACAAGACGCCGGGGGAGGGGGGGGGGAGGAGAGCACTGAATATGAAGGGTGTCTTACAGGGCAAACTTAAGAAATTGATGAGAGTGGTTCACTTAAACAACCAGGTTGTGACATTTTCATCCACCCTAGGTAGTGACCACTTGCTTGTCCTCATGTTTTGCTCGCGCACCACTGTATGTTACTCAGCGTCACTGTCATGTGCGTTTGAAGATTCCCCAAATGAGCCCGCGGTCGAAGTCTGGAACTGGGCGTGGCCGGCAGACTGATGATGTCGGAAATGTGCGCTCCAGAAGACTAATACAAGAAGCGCAGCTTTCATCTGCTGCACTGAACAGAATTGACTGGCTGTCTTCCGCACAAAAGAGCTCTACCGTTAGCACGAAAACGATGGACTTGCGGGGACTTTATACCCTCTGGAGGTCCCGCGGTGCCTCTATCAAACTTCAAGGCTGGGCCTTCTCATTTTACTGCGCTCAAATGCTGTTGTTCAGGTATGGAGTCCGGTTAAGGCTGTTAACAAGGGCTAATAAGCGTGCCACTTTTCATCGCCATTGTCTCTTATACATATTTAATAACCTTCCAATGGGGCTGACTCATACCCGCAGCAGTAATTCTGCAGAAAGATATGATAAGTCTTCTGATTGTCACCAGAAGACGCACTTAATTGCACTGCTGATGTATTAAATGCGCCGGTCTCACTGCAGGAGTTTGTCGGATGTAGATATGTGTACCCCCCACTCCCGGAACAATGACAAACGCCACTGTAATACCGGATTTGGGGTAATAGGGACCTTGTAGGAGATTAGACGCTGTGTTGCTGGACAGGAGGAAGCCGCACTTGCGCTGCTCACTCGCATAGAAAGACACTTTATGGGAAGGTAGTTCAGGGAAACAGTTATTAAGATCGCTGCAGAGGTAATCGCCAAACCTCTAGTACGTTTGTCGGAGCGAAACTGGACATCTCAGAGCAGCAAGGAGGAATGCATGATATCAGGAAGTGTTGGTTAATCCGAAAGGGTTAACTCTAAGTTGGCTCATTGATTTCTGAAGAGATTAAAAAGGCTGGAAGCACTGGTTACCGGCACGACCTTGTCGAATGTGGCTGCGACTGATACCCACTATGCGAACGCGTTGCCCAGGCTGAGAGGATAACAGCAGAAGGCTGAGGGAACAACCTTTAAATTAGAGCGGACAGGTGGCTGTTATTGAGGCCGACAGGAAAGAGAGTCTGGTTTGGGCCGAAATAGAGTCAGCCGGGTAACTAATCTGCAGCCTTTACGCGGTGTATTTAAAAAAAAACCATAGACACCAAGATGAGAGACTCCCGTAGTTATCGATGTGTGTGTGTGGAAAAGACGATTGGCGTGGTCTCATGACCTCAAATTCACAGCAATATGTCTCTAAAAGTCCACCAAGCAATAGATTTGACTGAGTGGTTGGCCTCAGCGGTCGCCCTCTAAACTGACAAGTAAGCCATGTCACAAGATCTGCATGGATTATAAACATTTGTAGAAATACGAATAAACCGGCCGTTGCAAGGCTGTCATTAGCAACGAGAATCAGGGCGGTTGTGTCATAACCTCCGTCTCTTATTATGCAGTCATCTTTTTGGCATCCCAATCCTATTACTAGTTGACAGAGCCGGTCGACTGGTGTGCGGGAATGGGAACAGAAAAGCCGAAACTGGTGCATCCATCCTCACAGCACACTAGTGTATTCTGCACTGCAATAAATCTGGCATGCGTTGAAACTATCACACTTCGCTGAATGTGGCGGCTTGGGGTGCTGCTGGCTGGCTGGATAACTCAGTCCTCATGATCGCTGGTGTGTGAGTATGTGCGGTGACTGGCTCGCGGGCAGGGAGTGAGACTCAAAGGCTTCTTTTCAATATGACCTCCATGGCCCTCCCAAGAACGTGAACTTCGAGTCGCCTCCCATTCTGTGCAAGGAACCAGCTCCTGCGTGG